AAAAAAAGTGCGTCTTGTAAGTTATTGGTTACAATAAAGAAAGTTATAAACATTTTTCTGTGGTTTGCCGTAATATACAGAATTATTTGCGCCTCTCCTATAATTATGGCGATTTTCTAACCGTAGTCGATATGGGACTTAGGCTGAAAGTATGGGGCACCAAGTGAGGATCGAACTCACTATTTAGTCGTAACTGATCTAGCGAGACAAGCTTGCTAACCATTGATGAACCATGTTGAAGTGCCCCAAAATGATTTTCTAAGCGAAGCTTTGACGTGGCATTATGTCGAATGCGTGGCGCACACAGTGAGGATCGGACTCACTACGCAGTCTCAAGTTTGAGATCTGTCTATATCTCCAAGATGAGGTGTGATAACTTACATTATTTGCATCATTCGGACTGTTATCCTCATCTTCACTGTCATATTCACAACGTTTCGGCCTTTATGTCATATTTCTCTGTCTATTCCCCTGTCTATATCTCTGAGACGAGGTATTACGCTTATTTGCATTGTTTATATTATTCGGACTGTTATACTCATCTTCATTGCCATATTCACAACGTTTCGGCCGTTGCACGCTCCGGCCTTTATGTCCCATTTCTCTGTCTATATCTCTGAGATGTGGTATTATGATTACTTGCATTATTTACATTATTCGGACTTTCATCCACATCTTCACTGCCATACTCAGTTATTGCTACGTTTTGGTAGTGGGTACCAATAACTGATACATTAAAATATAGACATATTGAACACCCAGACACCCCTGTATAGCAAAATAGATTTATCTGTAACCTTGGAAACATGAATTTTGTTTTATCTGTGTATTTAAAACCCAGTAATTAAGGATTAAATGGAACTAATGTCTTTAATTTAATTACAAAATTAAATTCGGGGCTTTTAGCTTCCATTTTTGAAACACGGTTAGAACTGTGTAGCGAAAAAAACATATTTTAAATCAATTAATTTATAATATATATATATATATATATATATATATATATATATATATATATATTGCGTCTAGCATGAAACAGCCTGTCGCCTCTGAGTGTTGAATTCAATATTCACTTTTATATTTATATTTATATATATGTATATGTGTGTGTGTTTTATATATATATATATATATATATATATATATATATATATATATATATATATATATATATTAGAAGATAAAGGGTACTGCACTATGTTTGTTTCTTCTGTATTTCACCCCTAGCCTGGCGATAAATCCACCCGAAGCAAGGTATTACTGAGAGGGATAATTGAGAAAACGTTATCGAGAATAGTGAGGACAATAAAAGTCCAGATTTCAAGGAGATATAAGGTGACAATTGACGTTGCAATTAAATTTTTGAAGATCGTAGTTGACTGGAAAACAAAGCGAGTTCCACAGGCGAGAATTGCAAGAGAAAAAACTAAGTTTATTTTGCATGGCCCCATTGCAGAACAATGTTCCATATCTAGTCTGTTCGAATCAGCTGCCCCCTGGCAGAGTGGCTACCGGGTTCTAGGTCTTGCCACACGAATAGTCGTAATTTAACCGCAGGGTCACATACGGTTTTGAATTCAGAGTTGTCCTTCTTCTAGACTGAAATTCAATCACGGATAGAGAGCACCGTCTATTTGCTATTTAACCCATATCAAGGAGGAGAAAAAAGTATAAATCCGAATTCAAAACTATGGAGAATAGAAAATGCAACCATTCCACCACTAATATTTACTAAGAAGTTATAACTTCCTATTCTTTTTATTATGTGCCGTGTCTGTTCAGGACATAACTCTTCACAATCTTCTATCCTTTTTCCATTCTTTTATGGCTATAAGTAATGTTTGTCCCCTCACTACACTTCCCTTTCATTTGCACAACTTTGTTAGGCAGATTACTCAAAAATTTCCTTCCGCTTTTCCTCCATTCAATATGTCCTGTGAGTGTCAGATTCGCCATGTCCTCTTTCCTCATTATAGGATTACCTCAATATCACGCTGAAACAATGGTTCTTGTACGATCACCGAAATTTAGCAGTGTCGATCCTTGTCAGTACTTAGATGGGTGACTACTTGTGAATATCAAGTACTTTGATCTAGGATGTGTTGGTGGTGTAATGGATAACAGTTTTGAATTGAAGATCAGATAACTAAGGTTCAATTCCAGTTAGTTTCCTTGTATTCACCTGCGTGAAAGTACACTTGGGAGAGATATTAATCTACTTCTTCTCCCCTGGCTATGGGTTAATTAGTAGAACTTGTATCAGTAAATCGTTATTATCTCAAAAAAATTCTTACAATCCTAATATATTTTCTGGTTTTAAAAAGGTTCATAAGCTGTAAAAACTAAATCAATCAACCAATCAATATTTTCATTGCTTCTAACAACATTTTCTCTTTTCTTAATACTTTGCATAGCTTTTGGAAGGATCCATTGCTATTTCAATGCACCTCCGAAATTTCGAATGGGAACTTTTCAACTTATTTTTTTTATTTTTTATTTTATTTTATTTTTTATTTTATTTTATTTATTTATTTTTTGAACAAGTAAAACTCAATCCAAATCTAAATTGTATAAATAAAAGAAAATAAACAAATTGAGGAAGGGTCAATCAGATTTTTCCCCGAAATTTGAAATTCTTCTTCTTTTAGATGCTACATCCCTTCAGGACCTAGATGAGCATGGCTCTCCACAACTTCCTAATCCCTTGTAGCTCGGAGCGATGTCTGTATTTTTACTATCACTCCGAATCCCTGCGCTGCCATCCTTTTTACATGGGGCAAGTTACTCGATGTTTCCCTCTGCACCTCTTGCTTTCAGTCTTGTGTGTGTCAAATTCTGCAAACACTCTTTCCTCGTTATGTCCTAGAAATTTCAACTATTTCTTTCTGATTCTACATATAAATAACCTTTCTGTTTCCATAAAACTTCGTCGTGGCCAACAAACTCCGTGCATTTTATTCTCGACATCCTTCTGTAGAACAACATATTTTTTTCATCACTTCATCTGTGAGAAAATTCTCTGTTAATTACTGTCATGTAGGAGGATTATTATACATAACACTTCAGTACACTCTTCTTTGTTTCTAACGAAATGTTCCTGTTTCTTAATACTTTGCATAGTTTTTGGAAAGTATCTTTGGTTATTTCAAATTTCGGGTTTATATGCTGCATTTAAACTAGAAATGGTTGCTGAAAGAGGAATAACCAAAGCGGACGTTGGAAATGATATGGTAATCTTTATAACATCAACAAAATACAATACTCGCCAGCGCCGTGAATTAGGTAAACCACTGCTAGTTGTGAAATATTTATCATATTACCCCCACTTACAATAGTGTCCAACTTATTTATGAGGATTGGGGCATATTCATTAGTGTTCATAGGTATATAACAGATACATAAGATAGGAAGTTATAGAGGGCCATATTCACCCACCTCTTCAAAGGATTCGGCACGTAAAGAAAACAGATACTTTTCAATCTAAACCTCCTCAATTCTAAACCTTCTCTATTAGTGCTGGAACCCAGAAAGTGTTACTGAATGAGGAATAACCAAAACACTGGTTGGAAATGTAATGGTAATCGTTATAACATCAACAAAATGCAATACTCGCTAGCGCCGTGAAGTAGGTAAACCACCACTATGCAAATAATCAGAAGGAATTTTTAGGACTCATAATGAATAAAGAGTGCGTGGAAAAAAAAAATTACACTCACAGGGAATATCGAAGGTAGAAGGGGTAGGGGATGGTAGCGGGATACCTACATGAACAGCATATGGGAATTTGTAGAAGAATGGGGATTGGGGAGGGGATATTAAAATGACCAACATTGCTCAGAGCTATAAAGGATATAGAGTCTGAGAATCCATGATCGCCCAAACCCCGAAGAGACACGTCATATAGATCTCTTTATCAGGGCTGAAATTTTACCATCTGTCACCTGGCTATTTTTTAAAATCAATTCACCCCCCACCCAGGCAAAGCGATAATGCCACAAATTCACAAGGGGCTACTGGAAGTCAAAGAAAGAGAACAGATTTTAGAACGTGTCCGATTTTAAAAAGGAATCCTCTGTTCAAAAGACAGTGGAGGAGTGTGATAGGCGAACCTATCTACTCCTGTTGAGGAAAATGAATAAATATAATTAAATAAAATTTCAGAGCTGAGGTGGAGACGTTAGAAGTGTAGAGTTGAAGTAGACTTTAGAAGGAACCAGAAACCCAATCTTAAACAAGAAACAAGTGATAAATCTACTTCTGCTCAAAAGACCGCGGAGAAGGGAATCAAGCGATAAGTGAAACTATCTACCCCGACTGGGGAAATTAAATAACTAGTGAATAAAATTTTTCATTTTAGTTTGAAGTATAGAGTTGAAGTAGACATTAAAAGGAACCGGAGACCTAATTCTAAAAAGGAAACAAGGGCCAAGGATCTACTCCAGTTCAAATTACAAAGGAAGAGTGTAAACCGGGCGGTAGATAAAACTATCTCGGCTACGAGGCAGAAACAAATCTTCTTATTCTTTACTCATTCACTCCAGTTTCTTGCTTTCATTATATCCCATAATTCACCGCTACTTCCTCCTCCTCCTCCGCCTCCTCCTCCTTTTTAGTTTCTCTTGCCTTCTATACAACCTTTCTTTATCTGCCTCTCTTTTTTATGTTATCCTTTTCTTTATAATTTCTTCCATTTATTTTCACGCTTTTTTTTCTTAAACCTTTTGCTAGCCTGCCCGGACCTATTTGTTCAGTCATCGTACACAGGGCGTTGATTTTTGTTCCATAAATCTCCTAGCTATAAATATATTCGCCTCACTTCTCATACACCCTACCTGATTAACCCCAGAACGTAAAGATTTATTTCGAAGGTCATTTGGCCCAGGAGCTAACCATAAATCTGTCGCCATTACCGACTGGATCCTTATTTACAGCATTCAAGGCGTGAAGTTGTCTGCGTATATTACAAATGAGGCCCATTATCTTTTCTCACACGATGCAAAATGTCTGTTAAACTACTCCGGCTTGTCCCTCCTCCGACCGACTCCATCACCAGTGCTAACACTCCTTGTCTCCTCTTCCATTTCACTTTTAATCTTTTTTCTCTCCGCACTCAGGCTGTCAATCTATCTTTCAGTCAGCCAACGACTCCATCTTGCTTTCTATATTACTTCAAATTCTTATCTCTCTATTTATCAAGATCGAGCACACTTCTTCGCTCTTTCAATGTAATTCTTAGTTCTCTCTCGGTTACTCGTGATTTTGTTTTTACTACTTAAAACTTTCGTGTTGTAAGGAGTCTTCTCTTCCTCACTATCTATCTATCTATCTATCTATCTATCTATCTATCTATCTATCTATCTATCTATCTCAGTCTATTCATATCTATCTATTTATCTATCTATCTATGACAGTTTATTCATATCTATCTATCTCAGTCTATTCATCTATCTATCTATCTCAGTCTATTCATATCCATCTATCTCAGTCTATTCATATCTATCTATCTATCTATCTATCTATCTGTCTATCTATCTATCTATGACAGTTTATTCATATCTATCTATCTAGCTAGCTAGCTAGCTAGCTAGCTCAGTCTATTCATATCTATCTATTTATCTATCTATCCATCTCAGTTTATTCATATCTATCTATGTCAGTTTATTCATATCTATGTCAGTTTATTCATATCTATCTATCTATCTATCTATCTATCTATCTATCTATCTATCTATTCATATCTATCTATTTATCTATCTATGACAGTTTATTCATATCTATCTATCTATCTATCTATCTATCTATCTATCTATCTATCTCTTTATCTCAGTCTATTCATATCTATCTATTTATCTATCTATCCACCTCAGTCTATTCATATCTATCTATCTATCCTAGTGTTTTCATATCTATATCAGATCATATGTGCCTCAGACTTTTCATATCTACCTATATATCTATATATATATATATATATATATCTTTTAAAAATGTTAATCTTTTCACGATAAGTAAGCTACAAATACGCAATGAACTTTACTAAGAGTGGAAGAAACCGAGAAAATTCTGAAGTGGGCCGACATTAAAAGACCAGCATTCATTGCGACAGAAGAAGACAATTAACCTGAGACTTAAATTTTGGAAAAACCATAAGACAGAGGGGAGTTGTACCAGCGGAAAATGCGAAAGAAGAAACTATTCAAATAGAATTCACGGTTACGCTTAGTAATTTCAGCAGTAAAATGGTGAGACCTAACTGCCAATCTGGTTCTTTGGTTAAATTCGTGAAGTCGATGTACTAAAGAAAACAGCTCATCAGAACAATTACGATGCGAAAGGGAGAGAAAATGAGATGCCATGTCAGGACCGATGACATTGCATATTTTATTTGGGATTTTGCCAAGATTCTCTAGATACATAGCAGAAGCACTAGATCAGTTATGGTAACAATATACCATGCACAGACGACTTACTGTATAAACTCACATTTCATGAGACTTTTGAAGACCTTAATTTGTAGCTAATGTTAAGGGGGTCACATCATACACGAGATATAAAATTAGTGTATGTACTGCTGGACCTGGTTACGCCATTGAACAAATTATATATCCATTTACAGTAGTTAAATTTGCTTAGAAAATAGGTCCTCAAAGGTCGCGTGATATGCGAATATATACAGTATGCAATAGTGCAAGACAGACTCGAGCGAGAAAAATGGTCTCGCACGATAAAGTGTACTAACATTCTGTTATACACCGTACCTGTGAACACTAATGGGTATGTCCCAATCTTCATAAATACGTTGGACACTATTGTATGTGGGGGCGATATGTTGTCTAAGTAGTCCACCACTAGCAGAGGTTTACCTACTTTACGTCGCTGGCGAGTATTGTATTTTGTTGATGTTATAAAGATTACCATTTCAAATCGAACCTCCGTTTTGGGTATTCCTCATTCAGTAACACTTTCTAGGTTAAAACACATAGATAGATAGATAGATAGATAGATAGATGTACAATGTTACATAGATAGATAGATAGATAGATAGATAGATAGATCCTGAACTGAAATAGTGTTATATACCGTACCTGTGAACACTAATGGGTATGTCCTAATCTTCATAAATACGTTGGACACTATTGTAAGTAGGGGCGATATGATGTCTAAGTAGTCCACCACTAGCAGTGGTTTACCTACTTTACGCCGCTGGCGAGTATTGTACTTTGTTGATGGTATTACGGTTACCATTTCATTTCTCACCTCCGTTTTGGTTATTCCTCATTCAGTAACACTTTCTAGGTTGTAACATATTCCTAGCAGCAGACATAACAAGTGATTCAATATAATCATTCCACTTCATGACAGTGGAAAATGTTATACCAAGGAAGCACAATGTGTTGCTCTCCAGGGGGTTAGCATTAGCCAACCTGATGGAAGGTTAAAACATTTTCTCTTATAGGATTAAAGGAGACCCGTTTCGTTTGGAAAGCGTCAAAATTGATTCTTGTTTACCTCTTTGTGGGTGTCGTATTATTTTCCACCCTGCAACCCCTTTTCTCACAGTCGAAAAAGACTATCGCTGCTCTATCGCTATTTCCATGGAAAATGTTCAGACGATCTACATTCTTAGTTCCACCAGTTCTAATCTTTACGACTAAGACGCACCATGTCATACACATTGTAGCGAACCGCCCTTATACCTCTCTAGCAGCTTTTTCCCAAGAACCAACTCCCAAGAGGATAATTCCTCAATCAGATCTATGGTTAAGCGTAATCTTCCATACATATACACATAAGCTATGCCCCTTCTTCATAACCCTCTACTTCGAGTGGCTATCGGCCCTTGTACACCATTGCAAAAAAAGTACATAGGCGAATCAAAACATTGAACGAAAACAAAAAGAATCATTTTTACGATAAATATTTATTTTCAAATTAATCTAATAATTTTTTTTTTTTTTTTTTTGCAAATGCACTTAACCATTCTATTTTTCATTGATCGGATTAATTAAATATTTATTTGTAAAAGCTTGTTTAGACAAAATTTCTGAGAACTGTCTTAGGTCACGGGCGTATAAATCCTTTTTCATGTATTAGATTATTGGCCTGACGCCAATTCAATCAGGTTTCGATCCTAGCTAGAGGCGACCGGGCGTCTAGTCACACTGATGATCTGTGACACATCGAAACAGTCTGTGGATGACAATATATATATATATATATATATATATATATATATATGGAAAAAAATGTATGCCAAAATGAAAAAGGTTTTATTGCAATGCCTTTCATCCTTTAGGAGTTCATCGCACTAAGTTTGTGCGCATGCGTAGTCGCACCAACATAACAAACTTATTCCGATGAAGCCCTAAAGAACAAAACGCGTCAAAATAAATCTTTTTACACGTTGTCATACATATATCGTTATCTCATTTATATATATATATGAATATATGTATATTGTTGCATATATTTTGGCAAATGTTTTCAGTGAGACATGATGCGTTGAATGATTTAGACATGTTCTGTCTACTTATTTTTGATAGGATCCTTTCACATTCACGAATAATCTTTTTGGTATCATTATTGCAGGACGAGAGAAAATCGCCGTTTTGATACATATTTCCTTTATTTCCGAATACTTTCGACATAGCACAATGTCATCATTTCAGTTTGTTCTCCCACCTCCTCACTTCGCCTCTCTCTCTCCCTCTTTATCTCTCTTTATACATGTGTTCATTTCTCCCTTCTCTCTCTTTACCTTAGTCTTTTCATTTCTTTCCATTCGTTCTATCTATCTCTTCATTTCTACCCTATCTCTATCTTTGTTCATTTCTTCCTCTCTCCTCTCTTTCCCTATCTATCTATCTATCTATCTATCTATCTATCTATCTATCTATCTCAGTCTGTTCATTTTCCCTCCACTTGCTTTCTGTTTATCGCTCTCATTCTGTTCACTACTCCCTTCATAATCTCTATTTCTCTCTCACTCTTACTCTCTCTCTCTCTCTCTCTCTCTTTCTATCTATCTATTTCTGTTTGTTTCTTCTTTCCCTCCTTTTCTTTTTCTCTCCCTTTCTCTCTCGTACTATCCGAGTCCATTCATTTAGCTCTTACCTTCTTCCTCCTTCACTCTCTCTCACTGTGTTTATTTCTCACCTTCATATGAGTTCATTTCTCCCTCCGTCCCCCTCTGTTTCTCTCTTCAAATCTATCTATCTATCTATCGCAGTTTTTTTTTCATTTCTCCCATCTCTCGTTCTCTCTATCTCATTCTGTTCATTTCTCACTCTATCCTCTGTTTTCTTTCTTTCTTTCTTTCTTTCTTTCTTTCTTTCTCGATCCCCCCTCTCTCTCTCTATCTATCTATGTATCAGTTTTTAATGTGTGATTTTTCTCTCAATGACGGAGATTTTGCTTGCATTTCTTTCTTTGCTGTTTTTACTCTAACCTCTTTGGCTATTGAAATTATTAGCAGTTATTTCATTTTTCTTTTTTTTCTTTTATCAATAATCAGAATATGGAGCAGGCTTGTCGTTGCTTAACTTCAAGATCAGACCATAACTGTGCTTGAAAGTGCGACAAATCTGTATACATCAGCCCTCCCACCAAAAAAGAAAATATACGAATGTTTAGCGCCAACTAGAAATTCAAAATCCTTATTTCCACCGTATCCCCCCTTAAATGCATCAAGATGCAGTATCAACCCCTTACTTTCTTTTCTCTATTTTATTTCTACCTTTCTTTTTTGCTTTCTATTTTTTGTTTCTTCCCCTATTTTTCTAGATTTATATTCCGCCATCTTGCATTTTACCCTTCACTTCATAGATCCCTTATTGCCACGAAGCTTCCATTAATGTAGAATTAATATGAATGTATACCCATACGATTTTCGCTTCGCATGCCAATGATTTAATATCAATGTGAGCCTTGACTCGATTAATTTGTCTTCATGCTTTGCGTGCGTTCGTATTAATATGAATATTTTTTATTACGTAGAAATATTCGAATTGCTGCCCCTGTCAAGTTATATTCTTCGTCTTCCTTTCTTTTGTTTCCAGTGAATTTCGACACCAGTAGTAGCTGGTGGCTCTTGCTTCGAGACTAAGTGACAGCAAGCCGACTTTATATGCCGGCCGAGTCTGTTGTGTCCCTTTTACGGTGATGCCATTGGAAAACGCATGGATATTTCCAGAGGAAAAGGTGTGTGAAAAGCGAAGAAAATAAATAATCTTCAAGCACAGTTCTACAAATTTAAATAATTTTATTATTGAGTATAAAAATAATCTTTGTTTTCTTTTTAACTTGAAAGAAATAAGGTTATAAATGTATTCTCATAATGTAAACAGTGTAAACTTTTTATGAAAACATTTTAATGCGAGAAATTAAGTTGCGAGAAAGAATTTAGTGCTCAATAAGTTAATTTGAGTATGCTAAAATTTAAGAAATCAGTATTGTTTACAAACCCCGATCAAATTATAGTGAACACTGATTAAATTTACGTTACGCTTTTTATAAGGAAAAATCGGATCACAGGAAGTTAAAAGTTAGATTTATAAAACTCGGAAGTTTTATTGGATAATAAATAAATTTCCCAATTGTGAATATCGATTATAGGACGGAAAAGATTGTTAATCTTTTTTGGCTGTGATCTTTCAGTTATTTCAACCTGCAACATGAAATGATTATTTGTTTTTTTCAAAGCTTGAATGGCGTTTGAGACAACGTCGCTGATTGGTTAATAAATGCTAATGTGTGAATTTAAAGTTCGTGTGAGTCTATAAGAAAAAAAAAAGAGTCGACCGAGGTTGGAATCATCGAGTCAAAGCGAGCGATCCTTTCCTTAGTTGTATAGTATGTGCTTCGCCAGGATTACATATAGTCTTGAATTTAGAGTTTCCCTTCTCCTAGAGCCGTTGTCACCCAAGACTACAGTCTGTTATGTTATTTCGCCCATGACTTTCCCAAGGGTATTAGTACGCAAGTGAATGTAATGACCTCAACTGGTATTCGAACTCGGCTCTCCGATTCTGAAATCCGAGCCAAAATCACTTACTCTACCGTGCCCATATTTGTAAAGAATTGTATTGATGTCTATGTAGTCCTACTTTAGCTTTGGGTGGAAACCAGTCTTGGAGAAAGAAATAATTTATAAACCAAATGGGCGTAGCGACGTCGTTTTCGAAGTGGCGAGCCTTCGACTATCCACCGTTCGTATTTTGTTTGATTTTCTTTTATCCTGTGTGCATGCTGTCAGCAGTGAATGATCTTGGAATGGATTTTTCTCTTAGCAATGAAAGACTCCAAACTCAGATAATGTTAATTTAACTATCTTCAAGTGTATCCTACCACCACATGTGTATCATACATTATCTAACGTAAGAGGAAAAGGAAAACGAAAGGAAGGATACCATTTATTATTGTATTTTAAAATTATAAAATTTATTGTTGTATTATAAAATCTATATGGGCGAATGGTTTGCATTCTGACCATGAGACCCGGGTTCGAATCTCACAATGGTCGATTTGTCAAGAGATTTCCTGATGTTGTTCGAGAGAAGGTGTCGATCACAGCGTGTGGCACCTTTGGAAATTGCCTGAAAAACCATACCATGGCTTGGCCCTAGCCTCTTGGTGGCTGTTGATAGCTGTGATAGCTCGAAGTCACAAGTTATCGTGGCCGAAGGCTCGAGCGTGCTGGCCTTGTTCAGATCTTAAGCACGCTGAAGCTGTAACTAAGTTCTGCTCAGCATAATTTTAATATAAAGGTGGGATCTGTGGGCGTTGAATAAACACAAATACGCCAGAACAAAACGCCTGCAATAGTAATTTAGCCGCCCTAGTAGACGGGTATCCTCGAATACGAGTGTTATATATATATATATATATATATATATATATATATATATATATATATATATATATATATATACATGGTGTCCATAAAGTCTGTGTGTACTTCAAAAAAAATTTATAACTTTATTTGTATTTGCGATAGAAATAATTCGTAAAGAGGATTAGAAAGAAGGAAATCTACATTTTTTAAGGTTTTATTGAAATTTTATTTAAGTTTCCACATGTCCTCCATCATTAGCAATACAAAGTGTAATACGATTTTGCAGTTCACGGAAAATATTTGCCAACTGATTTACAGTAATGCCTGAAATCACATTAGTTATTTTAGCTATACTTAAAACTAGGTACATTAAACTTTATAACATTTTTTACAGATTATTTCTATCGCAAATACAAATAAAGTTATAAATTTTATTGCAACCTAATTATGTGCAATAATGGATCATATGTAATATAGGTGAACAATTCAACTAGAACAGCGTCCTGGGTATGAGGATAAACTACATCCATCCTGGGTAAGACGATAAACCGCATCCGGTGTCCTGGTTAAGACGATAAACTACATCCGCGTACTGCGTAAGACGACAAAATACGTCCAACATCAAGGCCTCTGATCAGGAGGTTTTGAGGAGCGTGGAACCACTTCTTAATTGCTGGTGTTTCCAGGTTCATCCCACCCCGGGGTGGTAGCACATGTTCACAGCACAACACTACGAAAGTTTAAAAATAGTTTTTTGAAAAAATGTATTGCTGGTATTAAAACCTATATTGCACGTATGCTTCATATAGTTTATTACCAGCTATAAAAAAAATTATCGCATTAAATATCCCACTGAGGTTGATATGCCGTAAAACAAAACAAAGCAATCAACTTGAAAAATTGAAAATAAATACAATGTAAGTAAATACAAATTAGAGACATGTCATAATAGATTATTCCATCTTAAATAAATCAACAAGTTTTGAGGCAATTTTTAACATCAGCTTGAGATTTTTCTAGTAAAAAAGTTGAATAATTTTAATACGTCCAACATTAGGGATAAAAAATAATGAATTTTATGAAGTGTTTTTAGAGTTAGCATGAGCAAAACAAATTCACAGATTTGGCCGAAAAAAAGAATTCAGAATGTTATTAAAATCTGCGAAATTGTATTATAACCTAATAATCTACAATAATGGATCATATGTAATATAGGTGAAAAATTCAACGAGAAAATTTGGAAATAAATACAATGTATCTAAATACAAATTAGAGACATGTCATAATAGATCATTCTATCTTAAATAAATCAACAATGTGTTGCGGCACTTTTTAACGTCAATTTGAGATATTTCTTTTAAAAGGTGAATAATTTAACACATTCAAGTTTGAATATGGATAAAATATTGAATTCACCTGTGGATAAAACATTGAATTTTATATAGTTTTCTCGATACGGAGCAGGAGCAAAACAAATTCCCGGATTTGGACGAGAAAAAAAGACCTTAGGATGTAACGTCAAAATCCGCGGAAATTTTTCATCTTTTAATAGTCATTTGTGCTTAATTTAACTTTTAATGTATATAAATTTAGGTCGAAAAAAAAAAGATAGAGACGGTGCCAAAGCACTCTTCAGGGACACCAATTATTATTGTGCCCCACCAGTTAGGAGTTTCAGAAGTTCAGAAGCCTGCCCTGACTACACCTATACGCTTTCGAACTGCTGTGCCTCGCTTTACCGCAGACAACGTCAAAATTATGTGGCACCATGCATCCGGACGATTTGAAAGAAATATTTATAGATATATGATTTGCTTTTTTACGGTTTATCAACCATTTGATAATTATTTAAGGCCGAAAAATATTTTAGGTTTTAAGAATAATTCTTTCTTTGCATTCAAGCGATTTGGGAGAAAGAAAGAGAAAACGAAGAAGAAAGAAAGAAAAAAGTAATATCAGAAGGGTCATAGGCGAACACACACACACACACGGCTTAAGAGACGGAAAAAGGAGGAGAAAAAGGTTATAGTTGATAGGTATCAGATGTCGAAAATACGAGAAAGGTCACCTACGAACAAGCGTTGACCGATTTCCGCGTTTTTGTCCACGAAAAATGGAATTTTGTTATCAATTGGATGTCACCCAAAAGTAGAAATCCATTGTTGAACATTGACGAAACACAGACAGTCTTCCCTGTGTAAAAAAATCCCACACAAGAAGTTTTTTCACTAGCTAAATTTTTTTTTCTTTTGACAGAATAAACGTTTGCCCTGTGATAATAAAGATTTTTGTTATCAACCCACCGAAAGGAAAATGAAATATTTTTATTTTTGCTTTAGAGACGCCAGGTAGGCTAGGAAAATTTCTTTCTTAGATCATGTCCAATTAGCGATAAACTGATTGACAAACGCCACGTGTTAAAGCCGAGAGTGTCACATCGGCCGCTCATGATTTAATTAAAATTTTTTTTTAGTTAAGCAAGGTATTTCTTTCCCAAAACAAAGCCACGGGTTATTCACGCCCGACTAAGACGT